GGAGGAATATCAGTAGCAGAGATGAAAAGTGGGCATGTTTTCATTTCACCCTGTAATGAATGCATATGGTGATGAGACGGGGCAGGCAGGATACAGTCAGGGCCCAGTTCCTAGTCAAGTTTGGCTGGGATCCAGAGTACTAAGAGACCTTCTGGTAAAGGATTCAAGGAGGATTGAAGCTAGATTGTGAAAAGTCTTAAAGGCCAAGGGGAAGAGTTTGTATTTTCTTTAGCTCTATGTAGAATTCTTTCCTTCCTTCCCTCATCTGTAGGAAATTAACTTTCACAATGCATTATGGAAGTCGTCTTGCCCTCTTCAAATCCCCGAGGAGTTTGCCTGGATTGACTACCCAAAAGGAGTCAGCAAAAGAAAGACAAGACAGGGAGATATTTTAAAACTTCAAAAGACAAAGATCTCTAAGCCTCTAGGGGGAAATTATGCTTCTGATTTCCAGCCCTCAGACAGAGAACTCCAAGTAGAATAGTGCTTCTTCTTCTGGCTCCAGCACTTATTATTATTAGCTGCGTGACCAGTTCACTTTGCTTTTCTGAGATTCCTTCTCTTTAGTTTCCTTCTTTTTAAAATATGGGTAATTATTCTTGCACTAACCACCCCAAAGAGTAGTTGTAAAAAATGCTGTTTGTAAACTTGAAGCAGGATACAAATGTGAGCTGCAGTTATTAGCATATAGTACTTTACATTTACAAAGTATTTCTTCTACTTTCCCATTTGAACCTCACAACAATTTTGAGAAGTGGATAGGGTATTTGATGGGGCAGCTAGGTGGCACAGTAGGTAGAGTGCCAGACCTGGAGTCAGGAAGACTTATCTCCCCGAGTTCAGATCTGGCCTCAGATACTTACTAGCTATATGATCCTGGGCAAGTCACGTCACCCTGTTTGCCTCAGTTTCCTCATCTGTAAAATGAGCTGGAGAAGGAAATAGCAAATCACTCCAGTATCTTTGCCAAGAAAACCCCTTACACAGCCACAAAGTCAGGCATGACTGAAAAATAGCTGAACAGCAAGAAGGATATTTGAGAAGCTGGTGATATTAATCCTCTTTTATAGAAAAGGAAACAGTCTGCGAAAGAGTAACTTGTATGTGTATAGTCACCCAGCTAATAACTGGAAGAGCTAGGATTCAGACTGAGCTCTTCTGATTAGAAGCCCCTCACTTCTTTACTTTTTCTTCCTCTCTCTCTCTCTCTTTCTCTCTCTCTCTCTCTCTCTCTCTCTCTCTCTCTCTCTCTCTCTCTCTCTCTCTTTTCTATTTTTAAAAATGTTTCCTTAGTGTTAGTTTTCTAATTACGTGTAAAGATAGTTTTGAACATTCATTTTTGTAAAATTTGTTTTTGGCTAGGCAGTGGAGTTAAATGACTTGCCCAGGGTCACACAGCTAGTAAGTGTCAAATGTCTGAAGCTGGATTTGAATTCAGGTCCTCTTAACTCCAGGGCTGATGTTCTATCCACTGTACCACCTAGCTGCCCCACCATTTTTGTAAAATTTTGAGTTCCAAATTTGTCTCCCTCTCTCCCTCCCTCCCTCCCTCCCTCTCCTTCCCCCTGCCCAATGCAGCAAGCAATCTGATATAGGTTATACATGTACAATTATGTGAAACGTAACTCACTTTTCTTAAATAATTTGTCAAGGAAAATGATTACTTTTTCTGAGAAACATAATAGCAAAGATCTTGAGGAAGGAACAGTTTTCAGATGCCTGGGAGTATACATTTTTAAACTTTTGTCAACATGCTTTCAGATTTTTATGCAGAGTTTTAAAATGTCATATTCTGCTCCTGAGAGCCAGACTAGGAACAATAGGTGGAGGTTACATATTGTTAGAGTACGGCTCAGTGAGAGGAAAACTACCTAAAAACGAGACCGGGCTGCTTTGAAAGGTAGTGATCTCCTAGTGGCTAGCAGTGGCTAGAAATCAGCAGGAGGCTGAATTGACTACTGGTTAGAGTTTGGTAGATGTAAATCTTTTGGTCAGAGTTTGGACCGGTTGCCATCTGAAGGCCTATGGAGTTCTGGAATTCTCAGGTTATTTACTGGAGAAACTCAATGGTGCCTTGGTAATGCTGCTGCCTCTTTTTAGAGAATGAGTGTAAATTGGCTGTGTTTCTGAGACAGCTAGGCCCTCCCCCTGCACTGATTTATTTCTCATGTAATTAGGTGGGGGCGGGGCTTACACTTAAAAGGAAGGATCGTCATTGGTACAACAGCTGCGAAGGATGCCAGGCATTTTTAAACTCTTGAAAGTAATCTTGTTGAAATACCCTCCAGATTGCCACCAACATCTGGTTAGGGCATGATGTTAATCTGAAGCTTTGAAGTATTTATAATCCATGTCTACAATGGTTGACCAATATTAACTTGCTGCCTTGGCAGAAACACTTTTTAGGTGTTCTAGTAAGCAGCCCTGGAGGGCTTTAGAGGTGGGGCAGGATCTTAGAGGAAGAAGGAAACTTAGAAACAGAAGAGCTGGATTCTATTGCTAGTTTTGCTGCTGTTCAGCTGTTTGACCTTGCAAAGAGATTAACCTCTCATCTGAAAAAAAAAAAGTGGAACTGAATATTCCTGCTCTACCTACCTCCTAAAACCAGGTCTCCTTCCTATACTGCTTTCAGGTTTGCAAAGCCCTTTCCTCACAGTATAAGTATCATTGTCTCCATCTGGCAGATAAGGAGAATGATTTTCAGAGACGCTAAGTGTTCTATAGTAATCAGTTTGAAAGTATCCAAAGCCATCTCATTTTGAAGAGGCAGTGGGAAGTGAGAGTACTGGATTAGGAGTCAGATGATCGGGGTTCAAATTTTATTTCCGTTATTTAGTATGTGTGTGTGTGTGTGTGTGTGTGTGTGTGTGTGTGTGTGTGTGTGTGTGTGTGTGAGAGAGAGAGAGAGAGAGAGAGACAGAGAGACAGAGAGACAGAGAGAGACAGAGAGTGACAGCCTGTGGGCAGATCACTTAATTTCCCTGTACCTTAGTTTCCTACCTGTAAAATGAAAGGCTTGGATTAGATGGCTTCTGAGGGCCCTTCCAGAGGAAGAGCTATGCTTCTCTGATTAGATAATCTCTCAGGTTCCTTACTGCAGCCAGGTGGTGGAGCACTGGGCTTAGAATTGGGAACACTCATCTTTGTGAGTTCAAATCTGGTCTCACACACTTACTAGCTATGTGACCCTGGGCAAGTCACTTCACCCTGTTTGCCATACTGGCTCATCTGTAAAATGAGCTGAAGAAGGAAATGGCAAACTGCTCTAGTGTCTGCCAAGGAAACCAACTGAAATGACTGAGCAACAAGTTTCCTTACAGCGCTAAAATCCTGTGATTCTTTTAGAAACTAGGTTGTTCTAATGGATTCTGGGAAGCTATTCCCTTGGAATCCTTTTCACTACGAAGGCAGAAGTTAAAGGGACCAAGAGGACGGTGAAAGATAAAACTAGGCTCGGCCTCATGCCTTTTTTTGGTTTGGAGCCAGTGTGGCCATAGGGGACATCATGGTACAGTAGAAAAAATTTTAGATTTGGAGTCAGGGGATTTGGGCTTGAATACCAGCTGTTGTGGAGAAAATAACAAGCAAACCTGAAGGTGGCATGTAAATTAGTTATTATTATCATTATTATTGTTGATGTTGGGGTGTTCATTGTAAACTGGTTAACAGCTGCTTCTCAGTCTATGCATTGAGAGCTTGAGAAAGCCCTATCATTTGTGAACAATTGTATCTCTCCTGATTTCAGTAATGTAGAACAGAGATGTCAGACTCCCTGCTGGCCAGGAAAACTCAGAACCAGATCAGAATGCAACTGGAAAATGTTTAACAAAACCAATAAAAATGTGATACATTGTAGACGATGTTCTTTTGTGATTTTCTGATTCTATATGCTGCTGTATTGAGTTTGACACCTCTGATACTGAGGCCGTGGATTATGAGATTGTGCATTAAGGAGCCAAGGATTTGGCTGTTGTCTAGCATATCCTATTCTCCAGAGCAGTTTGCTGGATCACACCCTGTCTTTCCCCACTCTGAATTCTACGCCCAAAGCAAATCTCATTCCAAACTGTATTATACTTAATTGTGTGTACAGTATAAATACCCTCATTGGACTGTAAGTTCCCTAAGGACCATTTTCCACCTCTGTATCCCTTGTACTTAGCATACCACCCTGGAGTACATATAATAATTAATAAATCTTTGTTAAAATTGAATGAAATTAAAATTTATTTTAAGGGCAGCTAGGTGGTGCAGTGGATAGAGGACCTGGAGTCAGGACAACTCATCTTCCTGAGTTCAAATCTGTCCTCAGACACTTGTAAGCTGTGTGACCCTGGGCAAATCACTTAACCCTGTTTGCCTGAGTTTCTTCTTCTGTGGAATGAGGTGGAGCAGGAAATGGCCAACTACTCTAGTGTCTTTGCCAAGAAAAGCCTGTATGGGTTCACAAAGAGACATGATTGAAAAATGACTGACCAACAACATTTTTACTTTAACTTAATCATTCTTCTCTGGAGCTCATGATAATCCATTAGTAGACACCTGTGGAAGTCTTCATACTTTTAGACACAGTTAGTTTCATTTTAGCCAACATCCAGTTGATAACTTTTCTGTCTTCTTACCCATATTCCTTTTATCTACACTAGCAGAATGAAGCACCTTTGGGGTTTTCCTCAAAGTTAGCTCTGGTCACTGAGACAAAGTGAAAACCCAATTTGTGAGGGCACAGTGAGGGTCCAGATTGCCTGTCAATGATGATGAAAGACAGAAACCTGCCACTGAAAGCAGCCTAAATAAAACTAAGCTGGGCACTTCATCCTGTTCTAGAGAACGAGCCCCTCTCAAGATTCAAATTCACATGACTGTGCCAGAGTAGATATAACATTAGAATGGTGAAGAGGGAGGGGATTTTATTTCAGGGAGCGGGGAGGAGAAATGTTATCTTGTTGTGGTTAATCATTATATCCTGCTCCCTTCCCCCTCCCCCATTTTGTATTTAGATCCAAATACAAACCCATCATCCATGGAACAGAGAGTGGCCCATGAAGCACTACAGCTAGAGAAGAGGCTCAGTCTTCTTTCACATTCGAGTCGTCCGGGAAGTGGAGGTGAGAGGCTACTGAAGTCCATCAGTGACCCCCCCCCCCCCCCCCCGCCGATGGTGTGGGGTTAGGGGGATGACAGAGGAAAAACATCTTCCTTTTCTAGGGAGTAGTTTCTTCACATTAACAGGAACTAGTGAGTGTTTTCTCAGAACTCTCTGAGGCAGTGTCCTGGTGATAGAGGCTAGATTGGTGCTATGTGAGATAATAGGGGGAAAAAACCTAACAGGGTTTTAGGGTGCTATTCATATCAGTGTTCTCTGTCACCTGTTTGTATGTCTGGTTCAAAAATGCTAGGATGGTTTAAGAATAATAATTACTTACAATTCTATACCTTAAGGTCTACGATGGGCTTTCAACATCAGAGCCCTGTAAGGTAAGGAGAGCAAGGATTATTATTTCTAGTTTATAAATTAGTTAAGACTTGTCCAGGGTGTCCTAGCAAATGGAAGTTGGAGCCAGTGATTGAAGCCTAGGCTTCACCTTAATCCAAACTTTGTTCTCTCTCTACTGTATTATGCTGCCTGTTTAGAACTCCTTAGTTATATTGGATATCAACAGTGAATCAGGTCTTCCAAGCTATATTATTATTAATTTTTTTAAAATTTCAATTATGAAGCATTTTCCCCTCCCCATCCCCATTTCCTGGGGTGTGGGAGTGGAAAGAGAAAAAAAGATCTTTGTAATAAGTATACATAATCAAGCAAAACAAATTCCCACATTGGCCAAGACAAAATCTATGTATATATTATTCAGCATATTAATCCATCACTTCTTTGTCAGCAGGTATGTAGCATTCTTTATTTTCTCTGGAGTCATATTTTTAAGTGTTTCAAAAATTTTTATTTTCACAGTGTTGTCATAGGATAAATTGTTCTTTTGATTCTGCTCATTTCATTCTGCATAAGTCTACACAAGTCTTTCCAGGTTTCTCTGAAATTGTCTCTTTTGTAATTTCTGAAGCACAAAATAGTATTCTATTACATTTATATAGGATACTCTCTTAGTTTCCAGTTCTTTATCTCTACAAAAAGAGCTACTGTAAATATTTTTGTTCACATAGGACATTTTCTTCTTCCTTTTATCTCTTTGAAATATAAGCCCAGTAATGGTATTGTTGAGTCAAAGGATATACACAGTTTGTAACGTTTGGGGCATAGTTACAATTACACATTCCTTTCCAGAATATTGCAGCAATTCACAAGCTCCATGAATAACATATCAGTATACCTGTTTTCCCACAGCCCCACCAACATTTGTTATTTTCCTTTTTTGGTTAATTTTGCCACTCTGATGGTATGAGGTAGAATCTCCTAGTTGCCTCAATTTTCATTTCTTTAATTATTAGTGATTTGTATCATTTTTCATGTGAATATAGGTAGTTACTTTTCTTGAGAACTAACTGGCTAGCCATATCCTTAGACCTTTTATCAAACTAGGGAAACAAACCAGATTATTTTTTAAAGGACCCGCTAGGGTTTTTTTTTTGTTTTTGGCTAAGCAGTGGGGTTAAGTGACTTGCCCAGGGTCACACAGCTAGTAAGTGTTATGTGTCTGAGGCCGGATTTGAACTTAGGTCCTCCGGAATCCAGGGCCGGTGCTCTACCCACTGTACCATCTAGCTGACCCTTCGAGTACTTTTTTAAGGTCAGGTGTTCTTAACCTAGGTTCCATTAATTTGTTTCTTAAAATATTTTGATAACTGCATTTCATATAATTAGTTTCCTTTGTGGCCTTTTTATTTTATGTATTTAAAACATGATTCTGAGAAGAAGTCAGAAGGCTTTATCAAACTGCCAGAGGTCCATGACACAAAAAAGATAAATAAATTCTGCTTTAAATTCATAATACAGGAATAGGGCAAAGCTCCTGAATAAGAATCTTCTTTACAATATCCCAATAAGTAGTCAACCATCTTCCCTTTTCTCCCCACCTTCCAAGGCAGCCTATTACATTTTTGGGTGGTGCAAAAGGTGAGGAAATTTTTCCTCTTTTCATTTTCTACCTATTTCTCCTAGTCCTGTTTTCTGCTGCCAAACAAAATATAGGTTAATTTCCTCACCCATATGCCATGATTTTGAAGATAATTGTTGTATTCCTATTAAGTGGCTAAACAACCAAACCTCCTCATCTTTCTCAACATCTCTGCCATATTTGATAGTGTTGACCACTTTCTCATCCTGGCCACTTCTCTCTGGGCTTCCAAGGCACTGTCTTCTCTTGGTTCTCCACTCATCGGTCTGGCTCTCCTTCTGTCTCCTTTGCTTATTTTGCCTTTTGATCCCCTTCAACTGTTAGTGCTCTCCCTCTATAACCATTGGTCCACAGTTTCCCCCAATAGAGAGTAGAGACTGCTTCATTTATAAGTTTTTTTTTTAAATTCCTAGCGCTTAGTACTGTACCTGGCACTTGGTAAGTGTTTAATAAATATTTGTTGATTGATTGATACAACATAATCTCAAGACCTTTCACTATTCTGATCACTTTCCTCTGGAGAGTCTCAGGCTTATCAATGTCCTTTGTAAAATAGTGTCTAGAACTGAACACAGCACTCAAGGTATGGTCCCTAGTCTTGGATGCTTCTGCCTTTTTAAGTAAAACCCAAGATTACATTAGCAGCTTTTGTTTACCTTATCACCTTGTTATCTCATATTCAATTTATAATCCTCTGAAAACACCTGAACTTTCTCAGGCAGACTGCTACCTTGTCATGTTTTTCCTATTTTGTACTTGTAAAAGTACTTTTGAAATTAATTTTTGAGCCCAAGTGTGAGACTTTATATTTATCTCTATTAAATTTCATGTTACTAGATTTGACCCAACATTTTAGCCTGTTGAGATCTTTTGGGATCATGGCTCTACCATTTAATGTGTTGGTTATCCCTTTTACATTTGTGTTATCTTCATATTTAGTAAGTCCCTATATCTTTATGGAAATCATTTAAAGTAAAATATTAATACAACACAGTGCCCGGGAAAGATCTCTGGGATATTTCACTAGAGATATCATTTCCTTTCATATTAATGTCAAATGATCACTGGCTACTTTTAGCACCTAATCATTTATTCAATTCTAAACCCACCTAACTGTACTATCATTTAACTCAAATCTTGACTTTATTTTCATAAGAATAACTTGAGGCACTTTGTAACATGTTTTGCTAAAATGTAGGCAAACTGTATGTAACACTCTTCTGATTTACCAGTCTTGTATCCTGATAAAAAAAAACATTGAAATTAATTTGACATAAATTTGTCTTAACAAAACCATGTTAGCTCTTTGTTCTCATGGCTTCCATCTCTAAATGTTTACTATCAATCAATCAGTAACCATTATCATATGCATGCCCTATGTCAAATGCTATGTGAAGTGCTGAGGATACAAAAACAGGAAAAAGATAGTCCCTGTCTTCAAGGAGCTTACAATCTAATTTTACAATCTAACTATTCCTTTCATAGTATATTCCATGAATTATCACTGGCTTCTAGTTTGTAGCTTCTGCTGTCTTCTCTCTTTTGAAAATTTGGACCACATTCTCTTGTCCTGTGGTGGTGCTCCCATTCTTTCTCACAAGTTACTGACAGTAGCTTAGGCATCACATCTGTCAGGTTTTTTTTTTTAAGTTCTCTGAGCCTGGTGACTAGAACTCTCTTGCGATCTTCTTATTTACCTTTGGTATTGACTTTGTAGTAGCCATTTTTGTTCTGTCTTTTCTAGTTCAAAGATCATTCTTCTTGGCACAGAACAAAAAGGCAGAAGATGAATTGAGCAGCATCATTTCCCTTCCATTGTTAGTTATCACTGTCCTTTTGTCTGTAAGCAGCAGTCATATCCCTTTATGTTTCCTCTTTTTCCTAATATAATAACACCACCACTGCCACCATAATGAAAAATCAACCCTCAACCCTTGTGTTGTTCTTGGCTTTCCTTGATAGCCTCAGCTTATTCTATGCATTAGGGCTCCTGTCACCATGTTTACTGAATCATCCCATGCCTTTGTATTCATCATTCATTTCCTTCCCTTACTTCCATCTATAAACATGCCTTTTCAAAGTCATTTTGGGTGAATGAGATCCTTGTGCATCCACATTTCTATCTTTAGGCAACTCCTTTTTTTCCCCCTCACTGATATTTCATTTGTCTTTCTTTATGCCTTTAGAATGTTATGCTTGGGAGCCTCCCATCTCTCCTGGATTGACGCCCTCTATAGAATTATTATCTATTAGATCATACTTAATCTTTTTCTGAACGTTTGAAATTTTTTTTTTCAAAATCTGGGGTACACACCATATTTTTCCCAGCTTTACACTTTTCTATCACAAACTCTAAATGAAATAGTTACTTTCCCCCCAAGGTTCTCATTATTTCCATGTTAGCCCTCAGTATTTTATGTGTAGTATAAATATTTTATAATCATTTATAAATATTTTATATTTAAATATATTTAAAATATGTTTTTATATCTATAAAATATAAAATATATTTAAATAAAATGTAAAATATATTTCATAAATTAAACAATATATTTGCAGCTAAGTGGCACAGTGGATAGAGAACTGGTCCTGGAGTCAGGATGACGTGAGTTCAGTTATAGCCTCAGACACTTACCAGCTGTGACCTGGTCAAGTCACTTCACCCTATTTGCCTCAGTTCCTCATCTGTAAAGTAAGCTGGAGAAGGAAATGGTAAACTCTTCCAGTGTCTTTGCCAAGAAAACCCCAACAAGGGTCACAAAGAGTGAGACACAACTGAAATGGCTCAACAACAAAAACATGTATTTAATTTATATATATTTATGATATTAACTAAATATTTTAATTTACTAATATTAACTCAATATTAATATTTATCTTGGAGAAAAGAGACTACAGGGATTTGTAGGACTGTCAAGTGGAAGAGATTAGACTTATATATTCTTGGTCCTAAAAGCCAGAACAAAGATGAGATAGCAGGAAATTGCAGAGAAACAGATTCAGACTCAATGAAAGGAAAAGCTTCATAATAATTGGAGCTATCCAAAGGGGGAATAGGCTGCCTCAAGAGGTCCTGGCTCCTCAGTTCAGAAGTCTTCCATTAGAATCTGGATAACTCCTCTGGGACAAGAGAGAGGAAATTCTCATTTAGCTGCATTGGACTCGGTGATCTCTGGGATCCATCCCAATGCACAGGAATTCTTTAGTCTCGTGAAACACTTAAAAGATTGCAATCATTGTGTCCCCCTCCTTACAAGGCTTCTCATATTTAGGTGTCTCCCAACTTCACCTGTTTTAAAGCACCCACATTAAAGTGATAGAGGCAGCATGTGTAAGAGTGGATAGGCAGCCAGGCTTCAGAACTAGGAATACTTGGGTTCAGGTCCCTCTTTTAACACAAGTTGACTGTGTAACTCCGGGAAGGTCACTTAACCTCCTAGTGTCTGAGGCAACTGGCTGAGACCACAGAGAAAGTGCCAGCCTGTATTGGTAGAGGGAGCTCCCTCACCTGGAAGTTCCTTATACTGATAAAACTCACAGGTCCAGCTTCTGTCCCTATCCCTATATCTGGCTTGATGTTAAAGCAGTCCATTTAACACAGATAGTGTTGGCAGTCCATAAGACCTTCTATAAGTGAACCAGGCTGTATTCTTGCCTGGAGCATTTCTGATTGCCCACGTGCTGGTCAGGAGGGCTTGGTTCTCAGTATCTAGCCTTCCAGTGTTCTGTATATAGCAACCAAGGGCAAAGCTAATCATACTCTGAACAACTGCTTCTTTTCTCACGTGCCCTATGAAATCTTAATTTTGTTATGATTAATTGGAGGGGGATTAAGTCAGAAAGTCCCTCAGCAGCACTGGGTCAGCCGCTAGGATGGAGACATTCTCCCAAGTCAGCCTGGCTCTGGAGCTCCTTTGCTACCTTGGAGTCTGTTCATGGCCACAGAATATGATGGCTTTCTAGTTGGTCTCTTTGCACACAGTGGTGACTGCTGTTTGGATTTAAAATTTCTCCAAGGAGCTGCATTTACTGATGGACTTATAGACCAAAGCAAGATAGGAAAATAAAATCCTCCCCTCCCTCTCCATTTCCCTCTTTGTATTCTGCTAGCTTCTGGAAAGGGGCAGCTAGGTGGCACAGAGGCAGGAAGACTCATCTTCCTGAATTCAAATCCAGTCTCAGAGATTTACTAGCTGTGTGACCGTGGGCAAGTCACTTAACCCTGTTTGCCTCAGTTTCCTTATCTGGAAAATGAGCTGGAGAAGGAAATGGCAAACCTCTCTTGCATCTCTACCAAGAAAACCTCAAATGGGATCACAAAGAGTTGGACACGACTGAACAACAACATTGGCTTCTAGATGATAGTAAAATCTTACATTAGTATTTTCTTAACTTTACAATTACTTTCTCACACATTGTCTTATTTGATCTTCACTGTAGTCCTGTGAGGTTGGCAAGGCTGGGGTAATAATACTCCTATTGCTGGAGTGCTTTCAGTGTTAGAAAGTGGCTCTGTGAGGTAGATGAGGAAATTGAAGCCCTATAGAGAGGACATCATCTGTCCATTGTCTGATAGCTATTAAGTGATAGGGCCAGAACTTAGACCCTGGTCAATCAATACATCTTTATTAAGTGCCTACTATGTGCCAGGCACTGCTAAGTACTAGTTCTCATCTCCAAGTTCAGTGCTCTTTTTATCATAGCAATGCATTTGTCCAAGGTCATATAGTCAACATGTGACCTGCTGCTAGCCTGTAAGTTTTTTAAAGGCAGGGACTTGTGTCATTTTTAACCTTTGCGTCTTCATTGTCTGGCACTGTGCCCTAAATCTAATGAGGATTAATAAATAAAAATTATTAATAAATTAATAATAGATGTTTTTGGAATGGAACAGGCTGAACCAGGACTTGAAGCATTAGTTACAGGACCTGGGTCTGATTTCTCGCTCTGACATTTACTAGCTAGTGGACCTTTGGGAAGTCATCCCCTCCCACTTTGGGCTTCATTTTCGTTATTTGTAAAAGGTGAGGGTTGGACTTAGATGACCTTTCACCTTTAGCATTCTACCATTCTGTCTCCTGGCTGTCAGCGCCTGGATGACCTTGCTTTTTCCTCTTGTTTCAGGAGATGACAGGAGTTTATCCAGTTCTTCGTCAGACACCAGCCACTCAGATGCCAGTGCTGGGAGCCGGCTCACTCTCTGGCCCGAGCAGTCCTCGGCCAGCACCTCCCAGGAGAGCCAGGGGCTGGCAGCTGCTAAGTCTTTCCAGCTTGGGGAAGACAAGGCCCACGCGGAGGCTGCCCATGGTGCCGCCAAGCCACTGCCCAAGCCTCTCCGGCCCAGACAGCTCCAGGAAATCGGCCGCCAGAGCTCTTCTGACAGCGGAATAGCCACAGGGAGTCACTCGTCCTACTCTGGTAGCTTCTCCTCCTATGCTGGGAGCCTGGACATCTGCCACGGTGACGAGTTTGGCTCCCTGCTCAGCTTGCCTTTGAACTTTGCTTCAGAACAGAGCTTGTGCACCTGCCAGCCCAGTGAGCCCCACGGGGGCCTGGAGTATCAGGTTCCCAGCTCTTTCCGACATCTCTATGACACACCCAGGAGTGTATTACAAGCAGCTGCTAAGGATGCTCAGCGTGGTGGTGGTGCAGATTCCACGGGACCCAAGGACCAGGCCCCAGGCCCTCAACAGGCCAGTGACCCCAAAGCAGCACCCGCCCCACCCTTGGAGGCAGGAGCTGCCTCTGAGCCTGACCAAGACTTAGGGGGGCCCGCCGCTTCCCTTGCTGAAGGCACCAAAGACTTGGGTGATGAGACTTATGCAGATTTTCTTTCCAGGTGGTCAGGCATCAAACCTCCAGGACAGGTGTTAGAATCCCCAAGTAGTGAGTCGGTTTCACCTAGTGGAGTGTCTGCTGAGCCTTGTGAAATGTGTAGCCCCCGCCCCGGGGCTCCAAGAGCTTTCTTTACATCATGTCCAGTCTGTGGTGGACTCAAGGTAAATACCCATCCCTGAGCAGAAGCTAACCCAGGCCCAACCTGAGTTAAAGTGATGTGATTGATTTCAGTTTATTGAGGATGCAACCGTAGCAATGGACAGTGGTCCCATTGGAGAAGCATCCCATCCATGCTTTTTGTATAAATTAGCTTAGAAAGTGAGGGATAAATGACCAAAATCCCACCAGAGAGACCCAGGCCTTGAAGGTGAGGCACAGGGAGTACTTTAAATGATGGGCTACTAACCCTGGGGTCATTTAGCCTTGAAGATGCAGGTAGTTTTCTTCCTTCTGGAGAAGACACCAGGTGGGTGGAGAGAGCGCCTCCTCAGTGTTTAAACATACTTTTGATGAGAGGAAGCCTCAGGAAGGGAGGAAAGGCTTCTATTTGGAGAGAAGAATCCCAGCTTGAGGATATGGTGCTTGAGAGGGAATATGAGTACTGTCCAGAAATGTAGATTGGATCCAGGGATCGTAGAATTTTAGACCTGGAAGAGTCATTAGGGGTCATCTAGTCTCCTTATCTTATATGGGGAAACTGAGGCCCAGGAGAGGGACTGGACTTATCCAAGGTCTCACAGACAGTATGTGGCAGAGCCAGGAATAAAACCTAGGTCTTTTGACTCGGAATTCATTATTCCATTTCCTCATACTGCCTCTTGGTGAGAATTTCAGGATATAAAAGATTCAAGTGGCTTTGTTGTCCAAGATATTCATGCCAATAGCTCCCATTTTCTATAGTGCTTGATGATTTATAAAGTGTGTCCCTTGCAACAGTGCTGTGAGGCAGGCAGTTCAAGCCATATCCCTATTGTACAGATGGAAAAACTGAGGCAGAGATAAGTCAAGTGACTTGTGGTGAAGGTCACACGGTTGGTAAATGGTAGAGCTGAGAGACTCAAATCAAACCTAGGACTCCTGTGTCCAAACCAGTGCTTTTTCTTCTTTTTCTTTCTCCACCATACTGTACTTTCTTAAGCCAGTACATTCAGTCTACACAGTGTAAGAATTACCAACTAAAGACTGAGGCAAGGATAGTGGAGACCCAACTGACAGTGACTGAGAGATAAGGCTTTTTGGCTTTTCTTGGTCCTGCTCCTCTCATATTTTGCATGTACTTTATTTCTTTGCCTTGTGATTCTGGAAACAGAGCTCTGCATCCTTGAGCAGTGATGAGTTAAGTAACAGATAATACCATTTCTGTCCTCTCTATGTTCTGATTGTAATCTAGCACCATTTATTGTTAACATGAAATTGGTCTGTCTTAGATAGACTAGTTAGAACTAGAAGGGTCCTTAGAATCTAGAACATAGTGGGAAGGGATCTCAACATCCAGTCCAATCCTCAAAATTTATATAAAAGGCTCCTGAGGATCTAACTGGTAACGTCTCTCGTGGCTCACACAGTGAGTTAGTGGCAGACACATAGGACTAAAACCCAGGTCCTCCCTGAAGTCTAATCCAGTGGTTTTTTTCAACTACATCACAGATAACTGATTAGACAATAGATCTTAGACCTAGATTATGGGATTGTAAATCTAAAATGGAAATCTTTTAAAAAATCATTAAGCGATTTCTCCCTCACCACATCCCCCTCCCTTCCCAAGTTTAATGGAACCCCGAAATACATATCTCCTCTAGATTTTCAGTAGAGCTTTTTAGTTAAAGCACTGCAACTGATTTTAATTTGTTAGGGGTGTAGAAGTAGCAACGGATAGTGGTTCCATTGTAAGCAAGCACCTTATCTGTGCTTTTTGTGTAAATTAGCTTAAAAATACCCCTGACCATTGCAATGCAGTCATGGGATGTGGTAAAATTTTGAGGAATCTGAGAGGTTCTGTTTGCATCTCCTTTCTCATTGTTTCTCTCAACCTCGTGAGTGGAATGAATAGTTTTCTTAATGTGCGTGTTATGAACTAGGAACAGCCTCCTGGAATATCTGTGATCAAGTGTTATCTGATCAAAGCATAACTCAATAGGTTACTTTGATATTCGAGTCAAAATGGCTTCTGGGCATGGCTTCCTGAGAGGCTGAAGTCTCCCAGGGAGCACTTAAGAGGCCCATAAGCAGGAAGGAGATGGAGAGCCCCATTTCTGGTGCTATCTTTATGTTACATGCTGAGATGGTGGTGAGGATCACCCAGTAGCAAGTGGCTCTGTTACCTTCTTTTCTCTTTATATAAATGGCCATTTTGCCTTCACGATGCCATGAGTGGGAGAGGCCACTTAGTGATATCTGAGGAAGAGCTAGAGCATCCTTTGGGCAGCTCCAGTCTCAGGGCTTTCTGTAGTGCCTTCCATGCCCTCTGACTCCTGGCCTCAGCCAGGCAGTTTCCAGAAGTCCTTTATATGGTAAATGCTGAAGCTCATTAGTTCTGTACTTTGGGTCTTGTATGGTGATCAAAATGAGTGACAGTAGGATTTATTCAGCTTTTGAACCGAGGGATTTTTATCAGTGGAATTTTTGGGGGGAGTTACTTTTTGTTGTTGCAATAGAGTAGATTATTAGCTCATGTTCCTCAGTGGATAGATGTAGTGAAAAAGGACCCTGGGGAATTGCCTGAGTCTAGAATCTGGTTCTGTGCAACCAGCAGGCTGGTCTCTATGGCTGACTAAGCTTTTGGTTGTTTGAAGTTTCTTACAAGGCAGTGATGGGAAGTGTGTTTTGGCAGGTGGTAAGAGGACCATAGGGTCCAAATGAATTACTTTACTCAGTTTGAGGATGTGTAGCACAGCTAAGGATCCAGATGGACCCCCATCTTATGACTTTGGACTGGGAAGAATGGCAGTTAGGATACAGGGCATCACATTGAGGATGGAGATGACCAGGAGATGCCTTCTCAGTGCAGGGAGAAGCCCTTGACTAAGAATCCAAGAACTTTTGGAACATAGCATTAGCATCAGAGAGGAAAGATCAGGGCCTTGATCCTTCCAATCTTTTCATCTTCTAGACTAACTCTGCCATTTTGCAGAGAATTTTCTTGATGACAAACTGCATGGAGTGTGAGTTTCTTTGCATCATTTTAATTATTTTCACTCTGAGATTTCAGTTGTACCAGTGAAAGGTGTTAGCTAAGTGCCCTGTACACATCACCAGACATCTTCTGTTGGGAACCATGATCACTTTTTGTTTTGTACCGTTTCAGGTGTATTGCTACCCTCTCTCCGTGCTTTGGTTTGGGATAAAGTAGCTTAATGTGTACATATTTTACTCTGTAACTTTATTGTCAGGTGACATTTTGATGCTATTTTTATTTTTTTTAATCATCCATTGTTTGTAATACCTTCTTAGTTTGGAAATAAAATTTTCTCTTTTCCTACCATCTTGTCCATTTCCATTTGGCCAATGTCCTTCCCCAAACCCTCTCTCAATATTCTGGTAATTTGAGTGTATCTGAAATTCCTTCCTGCAGTTGGCATTTGGCATTGGAGACTAGGCACAGTCCAGGATCCGAGGGCAGACTCATCTTATGTTCTATGCGCAGTATCAGAGCACAGTTTCACAGAGGTGGCTTTGAGTGTGGATGGAATGGACTTGTAAATCGAGACGCTAACGAATCAAGCCTGGGCTGCCTGCTGCCTGTTCCCTCTCCAGTCTCATCATAAGTTTCTTTTTTTTCCTAAGACTGAGACCTTAAGGAGCTTTCAGCAATGAGGGAAGATTAGGCTGATTGCTGGACTGCTGCCTTGAAGATTTCATTGCCCTAACAATCTTTTAATTCTGCCTTTGGGTGAATGTGTATGCATGTGGGGTGTGTGTGTGTGTGTGTGTGTGTGTGTGTGTGTGTGTGTGTGTGTGTGTGTGTGTGTGTGTGTGTGTATGTGTATGTGTACTCCTGCGCATGCATATGCTTATAGGAGAATGAACCTGGCTGGCTGTCAATATCACTGATCCTTATTTGGGGTTTCTGATGCAACACCACACAGTTTTTTATTTTTTCTTTAAGTGGGAGGTGAGGCTTTTCTTCCCTTTCATATCAGGATTTCTGGGGTTAGATAGAAATATCCACAGAAGCCTACGAGGATGGCAAGAATGAGATATGGTATGGGTTTAATTGGGCCACACACTGCAGGCCACAAAGAAACAAATTGTCCGAATGCATCTGTCAAGGATTCTATAGTGGGTAGCTCTACGTTATGTGAGAGGTTGGTCTGCATGACTCCGAATCACAGAATATCTTGTTGGAAGGGACCTGGGGAGTCATCCGACCCAAACCTCTCCCTGATGTAGGAACCTTCTCTAGAATATTCCTGGCAAGTGATTGCTCATCCTCTGGCTTGAATACCTCCAGTCAGTGACAGAGAGCTCACTACCTAATGAGACAATCCATTTCCTTTGTTGAGATGTCATCTGCCTCTCCCCATAACTCACTCCTGGGGTATTGGCTCTGCCCTCTGGTGCCCCTTCCACTTGGTGATCTCATGTATCCAAAGATGTTACCTTAGAAGTCTTTTCCAACCCCAAGGTTCTAGGATAGGGTCTTATTGCAACTGGGCTGGTATAGAAAAAACTTCAAGAAGGGACCAGCTTAAGAGGAATGTGAATGGGACATTTCTTCCAGACCTGTTTTTTTGGGGAAGGGGAAGCTCCTCTACTCCATGGCTTAACAGGCTGCTGGTACCCCAAATAGGTAGGAGGATCGTAAGTTTTTACATTTGGAAAGTACCTTAGTTAACATCATCTCTCCATTTGATAGATGAGGAAACTGAGGCCCAGAGAGACTAAATGACTTGTCATACAGAGCCAAAGCAACAGAGCAAGGATATGGATCCTTATAACTTTAAAGCCTAAAATCTTATAAAGACCAACAACCTTTGTTCTCACTTTAAAAAAAATCCTTTGCTGCCTTGGTTGCATCTACTCGATTGCATGTACTTTGGCACTCAGGCATGTGAGAAGAGTCCTGGTGACTTCTGCACGTGCCTAGAGGTGACATCACACAGTCTGAGCCTGTCTGATGCTTTTATCATTCCTGTCCTTTTTTCCTGTGTTTTGGGTCTGC